CTCCTCCCCTCTATCAGCGGCTCACACTTGCTCGCAGGCCCGAGTCGGCCTGTTCCTTTGAACCTCGCTGAGCATGAAGGCATGCTTCAGAGCCACCCTCATTAACATTCTGGGTCGCTCTTCCCTGTCAGCTATAAACAAGCCCCGCATCAGCGGCCTCCTTCCTTCCAGCTTTACAAATGGCTGGCTCTGGTCCATGTGTTGCTGCCGATCCAGGTGTCTGGGCGCACAACGCCGGACTCAGAGCGCTCGGGAGAGGCTAAAAATAGAACAGCAGTTCTGGACGCAGACCAGGGCGGCTACTGCATCTCGGCTCGTGCCACATACCGGGCCTCACGGGACCCATCAGGCGTGAGTGCCGTCAGCTGGCTCTGCCCCTCCCTGGCCCTCTCCCCAGCTGCCAGTTTCCATCAGTGCCTTCCTGGTGAAGAGAGCTGGGGGAGGTCAGGCCAGGGACAGGAGGTGGGTACCCTGACTGGTTTTGTTTAGAGGCCCTGAGAGGTCTGGAGCTGCACTGACTCCTGCCCCAAGTTTCCAGAAAGCACGCAGCCAGGCCCAGGACGTGGTCACCTTTGCCAAGGTGCGCTTGGGTCTGAGACTTGTGTTGTGTAGCCAAGGCTCAAATGCCACCTCCTAAGTCACCCGAAGGAGCATGACCTAGACTCCTAGTCTTATGCTCCTTGAGAAGGTAAACAGAAAACCCCCCTGAGTGTTCCTCCCACAAGTCCCACCTGCTTGACTTGAAGCTAGGACTCAGGGAACAAGTCACAGTCAACAGATGGAGGGGCCGAGGCGCGTGTGGGCGCGTGGGTGCGTGGGCGCGTGGGCAACACGTGTCTGCCCCTCTGTGAAAGCCACCCACCTCCCACCTGGTCTCCCATCTGAAAATGGTTCTATTTGATAACATTTTCCAGGAGAAAACGGAGTGAGTTGGTATGCAGTGGGCCCGCTGGGTGCGAGGCCTCCAGTGTGCTGACTGTGTCAACTGAGCTAGGCTCCCTGGCGTCATGGATGTTCCCATGAGAGAGCGTGCCCTTCCTGCAGCCTTCGCACCCAGAGGAGGCCTCCGTCTGAAGGGTCAGGCGGAGGTCCCCAGCAGAGACAGGACATCCTGAGAAGCACCACTCCTGTGAACTCAGAAGTGCGAGGAAAAGGTGACTATCACAGGCTTTAGAGATAAAGACCTTTGTCATCATTGATGTTTTGGAGATTGGCCAGATAAAACTAAAAGAAATTGATCTGACTCCTAGCAGATTTTGCCTGTAAGCTTCAGGTAGGTGTCAAGGCATTTTAAATAGTGCCCTGGTTTCATACACACCAGTATAAGATAAATATGCCCGACCACCCCAAGAGAAGTCGCACTCCATTTGATTAGAGCAACAATTAATGCCCCAAAGAGTTTCTCCCGGCACAAGTTGCAACATGATCATTTAAACCTTCTGCCACCTGAGGATGCCGGCACCCCTTCCCACTGGCCCCCTGTGCGCACGAGGCTCAGTTTACCTCAGGGAGATCCTGGGTCACTTGTTGAACACATCTACTGACAAAACCCAGAATACTTTATAGACTCCACAAAGAAATGTCTGCAGTCTGGAAACCAAAACATCTGGGTTCGGATCCCAGGGTTGACTTTGACAAACCATAGCTTCTCTGGGCCCCGCTTTCCTCATGAATAAAGCAGAGATGTGTGATTCCTAGGGTCTCTTCTAGACTGAAAATTCCAGAACAAATACATGATCTGTGAATGTCATTAAATTGGGTGCTTTCTTTCTTCCTTCTTGTTTATTGGGTTGGTGGGCTCCTACATCACCATCTATCTGCAACACCGGGACATGATTCCCTGGGAGGAGAGGCAGCTCTTGTCTGTGACATGTCCCCATATAGAACCTTCCTTCTCTTTTCATTTGCCACTAGGAGGTGGGTCTCTCTGATTCTTCTTGGTCATTAAGAAGAAACAGAGATCCTGTGTTTCAAGACTTTCTGGTTCATTTCTCATGATCACAGGACTTTGCAGTCCATTTGGCAAGTTGAAGGGGACGGCAGGGGGGTTGGCAAAGTGCACAAGGTGGTTGTTAAAGCGGCTAGGTTAAGATAACACTCCCGGCCAGACATCAGGAGCGAGGTGGGACGGCAAGTAGAGAGCCCACACCCCTGGCCACCGGGACTCTGAGGGGAGCCCAGCCTTTAAAGAGGCGATGTACTTACTCAGAAACAAAGTGTATCAGCGATTGTGCTTCTGAGCACTGAGCTGAGAAATAGTCTTACACTTTGTAGCCACGCATAGAGACGTCTTTGAACAACACGGAAGTGAAATAGGCAGGTATTTTGAGACCAGTTGCTAAAATGACAAGTTGCATTTAAAATTTTAAGGTAGTCCCTGAATATTAGGAAAGAACCTAACCCTGCATTCTGTAAACCCACCCCAGTTTAGGCCCAAATAAAACCTTGGGAGCAAAGGGTTATTTTCATTAAGTCAGCTCCACCGCACCTCCACCCCCAAAATACCTCAAGATGATGCCCCAAAAGATCTAAAGATAAACCCCAGAAATATCTTAAGATGAATGTATGGGGACCAGGATAACACCTGAAGAAACCGAGTGTTCATCTTAGAGTCGGTGCCTCCAATTGTTGTTAGCATTCCTTTGATGTTGGCGGTCAGCAGATTTCATAGGAACTTCAGAGGTCAAGCTTTTACCACTGGGCCAGGTAGGGTGTGTGTGTGTGTGTGTGTGTGTGTGCGCGCGCGCGCGCGCGCGCGCGTGCGTGTGTGTGTATGTGTGCACTTCTGGTTTGGTTTATGCTTTTGCTACCAATGCTACCAGCTGTGACACTTTAATGACTATGTGTAGCACACCAGAGACCTTGGCTCTCATGACCCACCTGGGTAGGAAGAGTGGAAGGAATGAATGGTTGAGAACCCAGGCAAGCCTCTAAAGAGAAGCAGGGGTAACTAAATCTTTGCAACCCAGAAACACTTCAGAGCAACCATTGCTGGTGTCATTTTATTTACAAATGTGTGTCGAACCTGATGGTGTCACCTCAGAACGATAAAGATAACAAAAAGTGAGAGAGAGCGAAGGCTTGAAGTTAATGTTTGGGGTGTTCGCCAGGCCTTTCACATTAACCAAACAAGAAAATGGGTTCTACTAGGTCCCAACACTACAGAACCAAAGGTACTAGTCATGAAGTCCCACAGATAAGTAAGTTAAGCTCGTTTTTCTTCTCTTTTTATTTTTTAAAGAACAAAGATATTCACCTTACCCAGAAGACATCTAAGTTACAAAGTCAACAAAACTAGTGTCCTCTGCATTTCATTAGCAATGTTTCTTGTTTATAGTTGACAAGCATTTGTTCTTTCCCTGTGGGGACATGTAAGGGTTGGGCTCTCTCATAGTACAGTGCACCTTGTTTAGAGTTTGGGTTGACAGTGGGGAGGCAGTAGCTTTCAACCCCAAAAAGTCTTCATTGGCCTACTCACTTGGGCCGTCATTCAAGCCATCCCACCCAGCTATGTAGTTTATATAGATTTTATATACATGTTACATAGCTTGTATATGGGTATGTATATGGATTTTGGGATACTAGATAACATATATACAGAGGGTGCCAAAAATTGTATACATTTTAAGAAAGGAAAAAACTGTAATAAAATGTTAATACTCAATATATACCGATAACAAAAGATGAACACAAGTCATGCTTGACTTCTGCAATGATAAGAGGTACTCAAAGTGGTTCCCATCATTGTCCAGACACTTTTGATGGCGGTGAGCTAAAAGTAATACATAGATAACATCTCTTAAAATACTTAAATATATATGTATATATGTGTGTGTATACCTATACATATATATCTAAAATTATTAACCTGAGGGTATCATTGAAGATATTTTTAAAAAGAAAATATGTCTGTTAAGAAAATGTAAATTTATTCCCTGGGAGATATAATTGTGAAGTTGAAAACTCAGTCACTTCTCAAAAGAGCATTAGGGTTTGGGTCCTAGACTTCAAACCTTTTAGGCTGATCACAGATGCTTCTGTCCCTGCCATTTTAGAAATGAGTCCCCAGAGCCCCAGAAAGTGAAAGGACTTGCCGAAGGCCACACAGCTAGTCAGTGGCAGAGCCAAGACGAGGACACGGGTCCCGCAGACCGCAAGTCCAGCCTGGTTACACACCTGTCACTTCACACACGTACACAGTCGGATCCTAAGAACCCTATTCATACTATTTAGAATCATGGCTGTGTGCTGTACAAAGTTGTTTTTGTCAAAAATCTCTATTGCTAGAATAAAGCTTCCATGATTATGCTAAAAAGGGCTGTTTAACGATCTGGCTTTAATCCTGTACTAAACAGAGTGGTCTGTTGTATTTATCTAGTATTACATCTAAGCAGCTTTGTGGATGTCCCTGGAAGCAACCGCCCATATCATTATAAATTATATATCTATCTACCTCCTCTGAGATAAGTGAGACATATTCTTACAAAAGGGTAAACATTTTATTATTTGTCCATGAATCAGCTTGGTCTGAGGACACCAAGCATCTGGCTAACTCGTAAAAGCTGACCAGGCGTGGGGGCTCATACCTGTGATCCCAGCGCTTTGGGAGGCTGAAGCGGGAGGATCGCTTAAGCCCAGGAGCAGCCAGGGCAACATAGTGAAGCCTCAACTCAACAAAAACAACAAAATCAAAAATAAAATAAAAGTCGCCTAACGTGATAGGAGTGAGTCTGTAACTATTAACATGTGATGCAGTGTCCCTTATATAATCTGCTTGCTGAGAGCTGAGGCCCAGGAGGAACACATCAGACTGTCGCCAGGAACGTGCTGGACTCCGCACCAGCGATGGGTTTTTAAGCTGGGAGTGAAAAAGGGGTAGGCAGAGGCCTGGGAGGAGGAGGCCTGGGAGGGAGAGGGCTCTTCAGAGCAGGTCTTCTGGGGTCAGGGCCCCTCCAGGAGGAACTGAGATGCACGTAGCCGCAAGAGCTTCCGGCCAGTCCACATGCCCTGGATCTGGGGGGAGGGTCACAAGGGCACCACCTGGAGTGTAGGCAGGGGGCCCCGGGGAGGAGCCACGTACTCCTCCTCCCTCAATAGCCGCAGAAGGATGTTCTTCTTATTCTTGGGCCAGCTGTAGACGTGCGTGTTCTGAAGCCAGGTGGGCACGTGCTCCTGCAGGGAAGAGAGGGATGGGGCAAAGGTCACCAGAGCATGCCTGGCTCGCAAAGCCCAAACTTCCCCAGCCTTCCTGCCTGGGCGTTTCCCACCAAAGTGTCCAGGGAGTTGGGCTGTTTTGCTCTTGGAAGGGCCGAGCCTGTGAAATGTTCTTGGCTCCGGCGCCTCGTAGATCGCATGATAAAAACCACATGTGTGCAGAGCGTTGTGCTATCTCCCAGGCCACCCATCCCCTGCATGTCAACGTGTCTTTCAGCAACCTCACATGAAAGAGGTGGGACAGGGGTCACACAGTGAGATGTGAGCTCCCCCATGACTCCAGAGACGCACACCGGGGCCATGGGCTTAATCTAACTCATGATCCTTCCTGTGGCCCTAGCCCAGCCTGCAGTAGAAGGAGCCCTCAGACCCTCAGCTAGCTGGCAGAGACGGGGGTGGGGGTGAGGCTGCTAGCCAGTGCTCCTGGGTTGCTGTCCGGACTGACAGCCCCACTCAAGTAAGTGCCATGGAGAAAAATAAGACAGAGAAAGGGGCAGGGAGGGCTGGGGTGGGGGAGGAGGGAGGTCTGCAATTGTTTGTTCTCTCTCTTTCTTTCTCTCTTTTAAAGACAGGGTCTTGCTATGTTGCCCAGGCTGGGCTCAAGTGATCCTTCTGCCTCAGCCTCCCAAAGTGCTGGGATTGTTTTTGGTTTTGTTTTTTGAGTGAGAGTCTCACTCTCTTGCCCAGGCTGGAGTACAGTGGCATGATCACTGCTCACTGCAGCGTCCACCTCCTGGGCTCAGGAATCCTTCTACCTAAGCCTCCCAAGTAGCTGGAACTATAGGTATGTGCCATGAGGCCCAGCTAATTTTATTTATGTATTTACTTTTTGTAGAGATGAGGTCTCTCTATGTTGCCTAGGCTGGTCTTAAACTCCTGACCTCATGCGATCCTCCCACCTCAGCCTCCCAAAGTACTCAGATTATGGGTGTGAGCCACTACACCCAGCCAGGTCTGTAGTTTTAAATAGGGTGCTTAGGAAAGGACTGAGAAAATGAGTGAAGACCTGAAAGAGCAAACTTTGTGGTTATCTGGGTTTAGGCAGATAGCAGAGCCAGTGCAAAGGCCCTGTGGTGGTGGTGTGCTTGTCGAACAGCAACAAGGCCTACGTGGCTGCAGCAGAGTGAGTGAGCCTGCGTCCATCTGGAAGTAGAAGGGGCTTTATCAGAGAACACCCGAGGACCACTGGGAGGCCTTGACGTTTTCTCTGGCACAAGCCACCTTTGCTGGATGAATTCAGAGGCAGCACCTGCTGGATGTCAGGCATCGCGCTGGGTGTGGAGGATACCCGCGGTGCCTTGAGGACTTCAGAATTGTAAGATGGAGGTCAAAATGTAAAGAGACCATTTTCTAGGCAGTGGTGCACTGAGGGGGCCCGGTGGGAGCAGCCCACCCCAGCTCAGGCACAAGGGGTTGTCTGGAGGGGTTTTGAAAACAGCAACCTAGATGGAACTAGAGTTTATAATACTGAGTCACCTCTCACAGAAACAAAGATCTGAGTATCACATGTTCTCACTCATAAGTGGACCTTGAACATCGATCGTAATACTATAAGAAAAGGATTGACAGTGGCGAGAAACTGGCGGGGGGGGGAGAGGAAGGGAGGTGGGATTAACGGTAGTCAATATCTGTCTGGGGATGGGGGGACACCCTGCATCAACAAGGGTGCCTGAACAATGCATATTTGTATACCTCACCCTTAACTGTACCCCACGATTTTAAAATAAAAAATATGTTTAAAAAAGAAAGAAAGGAAACAATAGCGGCTGGGCTTGGTGGCTCAGCCCGTAATCCCAGTACTTTGGGAGGCCAAGGCGAATGGATTGCCTGAGCCTGTGGGTTCAAGACCAGCCTGGGCAACTTGGCGAGACCTCGTCTCTACAATAAGTAAAAAATTAGCCAGGTGCAGTAGTGCGCACCTGTAGTTCCGGCTACTTGGAAGCCTGAGATGGAAGGATTGCCGGAGCCCAGCAGGTCAGTGCTGGAGTGGCCTTGAGTGTGCCACTGCACTCCAGCCTGGGAGACAGAGTGAGACTCCAACTCAAAAAGAAAAGAAAAGAAAACAATAGCACAACCAGTGAAGATCGGCCTGATGTTATATCACCACAGTAACCCTAAACAATTATTCCCAGTACCCCATGCCATTGACTCAAGGTGCTAGAATTAGGAGCTCTCAGGAGCGCGACAATAGATGAGCAAGTGCAAGAAAGGCCTCCCATCCCGTAGGCTGGAGAGATGGGGAGATACACGGGGAAGCAACGTTCACTAGGCAGATGGGTTGGGGAAGGGTGTTGGAATTGCCAGCAGAGGGAACAGAAGGGGCAAAGGCACAGATCCCAAAGAACACAGTGTGAGGGCATGCTGAATGGTCCAGTGTGGCTGAGTGGTCATCTGTGCAGAGGGTGACGAGAGAAGACCAAGCAAGGGGGCACAGTCTCTTCCATGGACCTCATCACTCATGCTAAGAAGGGTGGAGGATGATCTTGAAGTCAGTGGGAAAACACCACAAACATTTTGAGCTGGAAAGAGACAGATCAGATCTATATTTTGGATGTTCATCCTTTTGTTTTTGAGTTGGGGTCTCACTCAGTTGCCTAGGCTGGAGTACAGTGGCACGATCCTAACTCACCACAGTCTAAACCTCCTGGGCTCAGACAGTCCCCCTGCCTCAGCCTCCCAAGTAGCTGGGACTATAGGCATGCACTGCCACACCCAGATAATTTTTGCTTTTTTTTTTTGTAGAGACGAGGTCTTGCTATGTTGCCCACACTGGTCTCAAATGCCTGGCCTCATGTGATCCTTTTGCCTCGGCCTCCCAAAGTGCTGGGATTACAGGTGTGACCCACCACACCAGCCCTGCATGTTCCTCTTTAATGCAGAGCAGGATAGCTAGTACAAGGTCAAGGGGAGAGGACTTGCCAGTGAGTGGGAGCAGTGAGACCCTGGGCGAGCAGGCAGGGAGGGTGAAAAGAGTGCTGTTGCACAGGCTGTGCACCAGGCAACCCAAGATGTCCTGTTCATAGAATCGGCCCTTCCCTCACCCGGGCAAAGGGCCCAGCAGTTCTGACACTGGGGAGTTCTCCAGGCGGAAACCCACCAGAGGGACAGCAGAGGGTTTTAACTCCCAAGACATTCACTCCCACACCACCTCCCCTTGGCCAAGCCTAGAGCATGACCGCAGGGTCCGGCGCCCATTCTCCACACTAGCAGGCAGACCCTTCTGGTGTGAAAACCCTCAGGAACCACCATGAAGTTCCCCATGGCCACTGTGTAGCTTGAATTTCTGGACTCTGGCCTGGAGAGCTGAGCTCTGCACAACAAGATACTTCCATGGAACAGCCTGGGAAAATGCACATATCTTCATTTCTATGTGCAAGAGAGACAAAGGGTCAGATGTCCCTCTTCGCTTTCTCTCACGAGTTAAGACAGAAACTACCTCTTGGTGTGCAATGGCTCTTGGCACAATCACGCCAGCAACGATCCCTACAGATAAGGCTCTGTGATCTTTCTGGTTCACGCCGCGGAACCGACCAAAGCGACGTGTTGACCTTTCTGGAAACACTGTGATCGCCAAGGATGGATAAAGAGCTGAGAGGAGCTTCCACTCAAAAGCCCAGATGGCAAACACAGTGAATCAGAAGGACTTTGTTTCTCTGTTTACCTTTTTAGCATTTGGGAAGAGCACAGGGATGAATCTGAAGTTCATGCTTCCTTGTTTGATGAACTCGATCTGCATCTGCAACCAAATACATGTGAAGGTGTCATGGAGCGAGGAGGAGGAGCCCAGGGTCCCGTGACCACGCAAGCCCACGTGGGGTTCGCATCCTGACTTCCTGATCTGAGAGTCACACCTTTATCGGTGGAAGGTGTCCCCATGACACCTCTATGCCACTAGCTCACTTATTGATCACTTATCGAATGCCCACTGAAAACCACACCCCATGCTGGACTCTGGCGTTAGGGATGAAAGCACCTTTCCATCTGAGCATCGCTTCTTGATTCTGTGTTCCATGACTTCACTTTAGTGACTTGAAACTGGCCATGGTGAGAGCATATACATCCTGGGAACGGGTGACCACTACAAATCAGGACAGCCAGTGTGGCAAAACCCCACTTTATGGCCCCTCCCCTCATGAAGCCAGCCTTCCAGTAGGAGAAAGGTCAGTTACCAACCACAGTGTGGTGTGAAAAGTATGGAGGGCCAGGGAAGCCCAGAATAGGGGTTATCAGTTCTCCATCAGGGATTAGAAGGACAGTTACAAGAAGGGTCATTGGGTGCTGAAAGAAAAGATTCTGGTCAGATGGGGAAAACTGGGGGGAAGGGAAGAACATTCTCAGCAGAGGAAACATTGTGAGCAAATGTCCGGGGTGTGGAATAGTGTAAGTGTGATTGGGACCAGCAGGTGACAAAGCCAGACAGCGGGGGCGGAGGCTGGGAGGCCAGCTGCGAAGAGCCTTGTTTGCCAGGTGCTAGGCTCCCCATGCCTGTTCCAAATGGCTCCGATATGGTGGTAGCCCAAGGAGGTTTAGCTGCCAAGAACTCTACCAAAATCAGAACCTCCAGCACAAGGGGAGTTAGTCCTCCAAGTCCTGTGACCCACACAGAGATTTCAGGCATCTGATGACAAGGGCTTGAGGCATGAAGTATTCCCAACTATGTTATCTTCCACCTGATGTTTATAACTGAGAAGTTTTCATTGTTCATGGGGATAAAAACAGAACAGAGAAGACAGCGACAGTGGTGACGGCTGGTAAATCACTATAGAAACCTCTCATACACACACTCTCACATACACACGCACACAATCACACAACACACACCCATCCCCCACAAGGTGTTTTCACAGAATCACCTCGCATCAAAAATCTGAAGATAACGCCAAAAGTGGATTTTAAAATGACCCAAGTTGCCGGGCACAGTGGCTCAGGCCTGGAATACCAACACTTTGGGAGATGGAGGTGAGAGGATTGCCTGAGTCCAGGGGATCGAGACCAGCCTGGGCAACATGGCGAGACCTCGTCTCTACAGTAAATCAAAAAATTAGCCAGGTGTGGTGGCGTGAATTTGTAGTTCCAGCTACTTGGAAGGCTGAGGTGGAATGATCACAGGAGCCCAACAGGTCGAGACTGCAGAGGCCATGAGCATGCCACTGCACTCCAGTCTGGGTGACAGAGTGAAACTCCAACTAAAAAAAAAAAAAATTACCCAAGTTCTCGCAACTAGAAACACAAGGTCCACCAGCAAAGGGCAAAATGTGACAGGAAGAGCAGAGGGCTCAGACATTAAAAGTGAGGAACTGGGATTTGTCTCTGGCATCGAGAACACTTGTACTGCAGAGTCTGGCTTGTTCACTGGGCTGCCTGGTCTGCCGGTGGCGGGGGACCAGCCAGCAGCAGTGCAGTTCTGTGTCCTCTCATACTTTCAGATAGTGGCTTTCTGGGACGAAGTTAGCTCTGTGATGCAGTTACCCATGGGCACCCCTTCACTCCCTCTGTCACAGTCATGTTTTTATTGTCCCGAGTTCCATTGTCTACAGGGGTCCAGGAGTCCAGCTAGGTGGGCAGAAAGGCGCTTCTGTAATGAGCAAGGGCCCAGGACACTGTTGTCCAAGAAACCAAGTTAAAAGACAATAGGGCAACAGTTGGATCAGTCAGACAAATTCTGAGGACTGTATTACTGTAGTGCATGGCTGTGTGAGACTCTGTTGTATTCTTGTGTGTTACTGTAGTGTATTCCCATATGTGACTGTGGTGTGTTACTGTGGTGTATTCCCGTGTGTTACTGGAGTGTATTGCCATGTGTGACTGTGTTGTATTCCTGTGTGTAACTGTATACCAATGCTGTGTGTTACTGTATTATATTCCCGTGTGTTACTGCATTGTATTATGGTGTGTTGCTGTATTGCATTTCCGTATATTACCGTAGTGTATTGCTGTGTGTTACTCTATCGTATTGTTGTGTTACTGTATTGCATTTCTGTGTGTTACTATATTGCAATGCTGTTGATGCCTGGTTTTGCCACAACCTGCAGAGCTAGACATGTGTCCTCAGGAACTGGCAGGGCCCTGGAGCCTTTCCCACATGCCCCCATCAGCTCCTGGGACCCGCCAGTTCTTGGAGATGCACACAGGACATCGGGTCCTCTGGGCCACACACATGTGGACAGCTGGGGCACGGTAGCACCTTGAGCCAGCATGGCCTTTCTCAGTGGTCTGCTTCCAGACGTGCTACCTTCATAGATCCTGCCTACGAGAAAGGCAAGAATGGGCAGATACTTCTCCCCTGACCCCTTGACCTTATCTTTGACCTCACTACCTTGTCCCAGCTTTTCTTTGGGTTAGTTGTGAGCTCAAGTGAGTGGTCTGAACTTGGTGGAAAAGGGGACGGACTGTCTGAAGATGGACTGTCTGAAGACAGATGGTGAACACTCGCCCTGCCCTTTTCCTAAGCTGCAGATCCAAGACCGAGCTAGGATTTCAGTCTGCCTTCAAGGGACAGTGGCGTGGCTCGAGCCTGCCTGCTTCCTGCCCACCTCCCATCGTCCCAGGCAATGATCCTTAAGCCCATTCCAGTTGTCTTCCCCCATAGAGAGCTGGCGCTGACACACAGCTTAGAAGTTCTAGTTCAGTGAGTTTTCAAGCTTTCTAAAATCTCAGAATCCTTAGTAAACAAGTGTGAGAGATATAGGCCAGCGCTGGCTGAGGTGAGGGTGGGAGGCTCAGAGCCAGCCTCTTTTGCAGCTCTTACGGGCACCCACTGGGGACTCCACAGGACAGACCGAAAGTCCCAAGTCTAGGTCAGGTGTGGTGGCTCACGCCTGTAATTCCAGCACTTTGGGAGACGAAAGTGAGAGGATTGCTTGAGCCCAGGAGTTTGGGACCAGCTTGGGCAACATAGTGAGATGTTATCTCAAAAAGTAAAAAACTTAGCCGGGCGTAGTGGCATATGTCTGTAGTCCAGCTACCCGGGAGGCTGAGAAGGAAGGATCACCTGAGCCCAGGAGGTCGAGGCTATGGTGAGTTGTGATTGTGCCGCTGCACTCTAGCCTGGGTGGCAGAGTGAGACCCCAAGTCAAAAAAAAAAGAGAAAGTCACATGTCTGGTCCGGCATCATAGTCAAGCAGAAACTGTCTTCACAGCGTCTCTATAATCCTGGAACGCAGGAGGTTGGGTAATCCATAAACCAGTCAGTTCCAAAGCTGAAACATTTTTTCAGTCAGAATATTCTACTAGATGCTGAGCACATCTAATAGCCTATCAGTTTCCCCTACTGCTTTTATTTGACCCCATAGTTCAGGTGTGGCAGTAAAATGTACCCCACCTGTCATGGGCTAAGAACAATTCCTTCCCCTGACTGAGTGGCCAATATGTGCCACAGCTTTGCAAACAATATTTCACTTAATCTTCACAACAACATTGCAAGTATCAGTGACCCATTTTATGACTAGAGACACTGAGGCCCAAAGAGATTTAAGCAGTTGGGCTGTGTGTGGCCTCCGTGAGGAGGCCAGCTGTGAGCCAAGCACGTCTGATGCCACATGTGTGTCCTCCCCATGCCGTCCTGCCTTTCTGAAAGGGCAGACTGCAGAGCGTGACACAGCTACAGAGCCCACCCCTCACAGCCCTGCCTCCCGCTCTCCTGGGACTCCACATCTGTTGGTGCCCAGCCAAGCCCACAGAGCATGGCCCTCCAGACTCTTGGGCCATTCTCCCCTTGTTACTGATAGGAACTGAGGCCCAGAGATGCGTGGCCTGCCCATAGTCCCCAAGGTAGACGCAGGCGGGACCAGTGTCCCCTCTCCTGACGTGTCAGGCCTGGGATTCAGGCATTGCACTGCCTCTGTTGGTCTCTGGTGCAGAGCAGGATTTCCCTGGACTGTGTGTCCATCCCTGGGGGCAGTAGATGCCTGGTCCTGCCCCACTCACCATGCGGTGAATGTACTTGGTGTGTAAGCCGTGCTCATCCTCATCTAGCTGCGACTCGGCACCTTCCACGTCCTGTTTGTACTTGGGGCTGATGGCCACAATGATCATCACTGTCTTCTGTCAACGGGAGAAAGGCATGTTGACAGGAGTGTCAAGGGTAGCCCATCAGTGGAGGCAAGCTGGGGGCTGGCCAGCAGGACTGGGGGCGTCCTCTGACATGCAGAGGGTGGGGGCCAGGCTCATCCTCTGCTGAAAGAGAAAGGCAATGGCTCCCACCCCATGGACCCCTGTCTCTGCTTCTCCCTCTATCCCCCTGCCCGCCCTGCCCCTCGGATGGGCAGAGCAAACAGCTGAGAGAGGAGCTCTCCCGAATGAAGGTGCTGGGGCCACGGATTTCCAGGGCCGTCACTAGGAAACGTCTAACTCAGGCCTGGATCCTGGTGAGTCTGTGGGGTGGCAGGTGGGCAGGGGCTGTGCCCTGGCGCTGGGAACACCCTGCTTCCTGCCACGGGGTGGGAACTGCAGTCACGGTACCCCTGATGGCCCTGCTTTCATGGCGTGATCAGTACAGGCAGGAGGGACAGGCCCTTCCGCACAAAGCAAACATCAGGCTGCAGACAAAAGACACAGCCCGGCCTGCTGAGAGGCCCACGGCTGCCTGCAAGGAGCTGGCCACGGACACGCCGGCAGCAATCAATTTCCATCTTGCTCCAGCACAGCGTGTCTCGGTGGCCGGTAGAGATTCTGTCGGGGAGAACAAATCCCAGGCTGCATGGTCCCCCGCCCCCAGGGGTGGGGTGTGTGTGTGCTGCAGGAGGGCGGGGAGGGAGGCTGCCTGGGAGGCCTCTTCAGCCCCATCCTACAAAAGTCTCAGGGTGGCCTACGATTACATCGAATTCTGCTGTCACCCCCCCCCCCCCCCCCCCCCTCCGCTTCATTTCCTTCTTTCCTCGTCTGGTTAAAAAAAAAAAATTGGTTTGCTCTGATTGTTATCAACCACCTGTGTCTGGTTTGACCGTCATTTCCTGCCTGTACATGTTCAGGAGGGCGACCCACCCTTCCCTCCCAAGCCTTCGCGCCTTCCAACAAGAGGGCTTTGTTGGGGCTGTCTCCGCCTCCACCTCCGGCGGGGGCACCAGAGCCTCTTTCATTGTGTGACTTCAGAAGCTGATTGTCTCTCTCACCAGAAGACAGTCTCAGACTTACATCTCGGAGGTAGCGCTCCATCCATTTAATGATGTCAATGCCTCGAATTCTGTCCTCAAATATGTCAATCTGCAAGAAGAAATGTGGGAGGCGGCCCTCAGGATGTACGAGGAAACACAAGGCCGTGCACATTTAAGATGCAAAGCGCGGCAGGTGCCTTTTGCAAGGAACACGTCCATCCAAAAAACAAACAGTCATGCTCTTAAAATAGTTGCTATTTCAACATTAGGCATTTGAGTATTTAATATCTATCATTAGGATGTCCTGATATACATCAAAACATATCTGTGGCTACACAATAATTATGCTTTTAAAAACCCGAGGCACACCGTATACCTCTAAGTTGGAGGTCAGCCAGCAGCATACATGCATTATATATGTGTGCACGAATCTGTAATTCAAAACGTGAAAGGCAAGCCTAATTCTGGAATGTCTCAATGGGTGTGTGGTGCGCGAGTACTGAGTGGCGCCTTTCTTGCCTTGGTGGGTCCTGATGATGGGATTCTGTCCAATTTCCATCTACATGTTTCAAAAGGATGAAACTTGGAGCAGATCCAAGGGACAGTCACAGAGACCGTGACTGGGAGGGTGGGGAAGGGGCTTATGAGCAAGTCAAGGAGGAGCACTCTCAGGCCTTGAAGAGACTGACGTTTAATATTGGTCGTCAAGCCTTCGAAGGGGTATTGAACAAGGAGAAAAATCACATATTTTTCTGTTTTATAAAAGACCCAATAAAAGACCCAATAAAAGAGACATTTTCTTGGGCTCAGGCTGGAACTGTAGCCAGAAGAGTGAGAGAGAGAGAGAGAGAGAGAGAGAGAGAGAGCGAGCGAGAGAGAGAGAGAGAGAGAGAGAGTGTGTGTGTGTGTGTGTGTGTGTGTGTGTGTGTGTGTGTGTGTGTATGAAGGTGCTCTTGACTGGAAGGGATTATGTGCTAGAATGAGTGACTCAGGGAGTATGTCCTGGGGAGAGGTTATTGGATTCAGCCATGCTCCTCCCAGATTAATTGTCCTCATTGTCACTCTGCCATTTAGAACTGACCAAGTCGAAGCCCAGTGAACTTTCTATGCCATCTACAGTCGGGCCTACCTCTCTGTTCCCTGTGTGCCCTGTCTACCCCCACACTAGTGTTCCCTGTACCCTAAAGGCATAGCATAGCCCCCCCCGCTCTGTACATCCTCCCTACATGCTAACTTCTTCCTCCTTCCTTCATCTCACCTGTCCCACTGTGACTACTTGACAGATAACACGTCATGATAACGTTCTTTCACTCACAATGTGTCTCATTTATGTCCACTTTGTCTTCTCTAAGTTTCCTATGGAAAGAGATTATGCCCTATGTACATCAACTACCAAATACATAGGGTCCATGATGCAAATTCAGAATATGTTTCTTTTCTGATAGAATATAAAAAATGGAATGGCTTTCCTTTTGGATTGTTTGACTTTGATTTTAAAACGTGTAATGTCCAATGACCACGTTAGGTGACCTTGAGAAAGCTTTCGTAGCTTTCTGTGACTGTATCATTTCTGTTTCTGTTATATGAGAGAGAAGCAATATGAAGTCAGGACTGGCCAAGTACGGTGGCTCACGCCTGTAATTCTAGCACTTTGGGAGGCTCAGGTGGGAGGATCACTTGAGTCCAGGAGTTTGAGACCAGCCTAGGTAACATAGTGAGACCTTGTCCCCATAAAAAAATAAATTAACTGGGTGTGGTGGTGCAAGCCTGTAGGCCCAGCTTCTAGGGAGTTTGAGGTGGGAGGATCACCTCAGCCCAGGAGGTCGAGGCTGTGATGAACCGTAATCATGCCACTACATTGCAGTCTGAGTGATGGAGAGAGACCTTCACTCAAAATAATAATAATAATAATGACAATGACAATGATGAGGTCAGGGTTGAGAGGAGATGGACAGCTTGGGGTTCATCTTGGCTCTGCCACTTCTCATCGATATGACTTTGGAAATATTATTGAAACTTTCCAAATCTTATTATCTTCATTTGTAATATGTGGTTAATTAACCTACTTCTTAGGGCAGCTGTGAGCATTAAAATGAGTTAACATGGAAAAGGCGTATCATAATGCAGGCATGAGGTAAGCACTCAAGAAATGGTAAGAATGATTCTTATCTCAGAACCTAAACTCTCCTCAGCTCCTGAGGCGGACATTCTGGGCAGGCCCTGGGCTGCGTGTCTTCCATCTGTCCCTCCGGCTCTCCACCCAAGTCCACAGCTGCTGTCAGGACAGTTTCCCCACATAGCCACTGTTAGGGGCTGAACTGTGTCCCCAACATGTTGAAGCCCTGACCCCCAGCACCTCAGAATGTGATTGCATTTGGAGATGGAACCTTCCAAGCGGCAATTAAGGTAAAGTGAGGTCACTTGGGTAGACCCTCATCCAGTAGGACTGGTGGCCACAGAAGAAGAGGAGGTCAGCACACGGACATGTTACACACACAGAGAAGATACCCTGTGAGGATGGAAGGAGAGGACAGTCAAGGCAAGCCAAGGGAGAGGCCTCGGGATGAAGCCACCCCTGCCGACACCTTGATCTTAGCCTTCCAGTCTCCAGCACAGTGAGAAAACACATCTCTAGATTTAAGCCGGACACTGTGGCTTACACCTATAATCCCAGCACTTTGGGAGGCTGAAGCAGGAGGATTGCTTGAGCCCAGGAGTTTGAGGCCAGCCTAGGCAACATAGCGAGACCTCTCCTCCACTAAAAATAAAAGAAATAATTAAAAACATAGTCTAGCCGGGCTCGGTGGCTCAGCCTGTAATCCCGCGCCCTTGGGAGGCTGAGGTGAGTGGATTGCCTGAGCCCGTGGGTT